TTCCTTTTTTGTGGTTTATCATTGAGTTAAGCTTAAAAACAAACAATGAAAATTTATGATAAGATGGTCCCTCTCTTGTTGACAATTTCTTCAAAAAGTAATGTTGACTTGAAGATATACAGATTCCTCAAAGAAAACTTGCATACACCTATCTTAAGTTAAAAATGTATCTTATTAGGCGATAATTGTCAGTATTACCCGATGGTTAAGCTTGTTAATAAGAAAGGAAAATATCTGATGAATTCACAGCTCAAGGGTTTATTTGTGACATCTTAAGGATGTATTAGTATTATTTAATTCGCCTTTCTTTCATGTAACCACCACTTACGGTATTGATAGTGTTGGTACATAGTCCCTGATTTCTTTTGCTAGTTTTTTTTTATTAAATATATTATTGCCTTACTTTTGGTTTGTGTGTATACAGGGCCACACGAAACCTATTCATTCGGTTTGCTGGGACCCATCTGGAGAGCTGCTGGCATCTGTTAGTGAGGACTCGGTTAGGGTGTGGACAATGAGATCTGGCAGTGAAGGAGAATGCTTGCACGAGCTCAGTTGTAATGGAAACAAATTCCACTCTTGCGTTTTCCACCCGACATATTCGTCCTTGCTTGTAATCGGTTGTTATCAGGCAAGTTATATTTTCTCTGGTTTAATTTTTGTGTGATTTACAAATCTACCCCTGAGGTTTATCCTATCCTAAATACGGACAGTGCTAATTTGTTGAGTCTTATGGGTTATGCAAATCACGTTCACGTTTCTTCTTTTGACTGCATATATGTATCAGTATATGTTAGGTGTCCACATACCTCAACTTTAAGAGGTATTTATGATTTTGGAAAATAATTGATGTATTTAGTTTTTTGTTTTACATTTAATTAGTCCAATTGGGTGTATATGGAAAATAGCTATATTATTACAAACATTTCAAACACAGACACACACATCCACATCCCAAAGATTCTTCACTGAAGTTTATAAATTCAATAATTTTCACACTTTTTTTTTTCTTTTTTGCAGTCTTTGGAGCTGTGGAACATGAGCGAGAACAAAACAATGACCCTTTCAGCTCATGAAGGACTAATTGCGTCATTGGCGGTGTCGACAGTTGCAGGCTTGGTTGCGTCTGCAAGTCACGACAAAATCGTCAAACTTTGGAAGTGAATTATCTCAAAGCCATTTTGATCCGTAGAAGCTTCTTCAACTCGTGATTTTGCTGCTATGTAATTTAATTCCATTTTCAGAGTTTTTGTGGTACCTTGAAAGAGTTTTAGGCTGACTAACTGTGGTTGATATTGTTCATGCTTTACCATGGATGAACAATCTACACTGTTCTTTTTTAATCCTTTCTTTGTGACTTAATCTAACTTTTAACATTAAACTTGCCATCTAGCTTTGATTTGAATGCCCTCCTTACTGGATTTCGAATGTGCGACTGATTGCATAATAAGATCGACAGTGGAACGAATCAAAATTCTCCTCGGTTTGGAGCGAAAAATTCTCATTAGAGTCCAAAGTTCCTCTTGTAGGATTGTTTACTTGAAAACTGTTAATTTTCTGTCTTTTGTCTACTGTTCACCTCTTTTCTAACCTAGTTAGTTATTTTTTGCTCCCTCTTGTCTCGTAGTTTCTTTCTTTGTTTCTCGTTTCCCTGTTGCCGTTTCTGTTTTAGTACTCCTTTATGGCCTGATTGGTATAATTGAATGAAATTTGATAGGAATGGAATGAGTTGAAGAATGAAATGATTATGGGAATGGAATAAAACAAGTTTTGTTATTGATGTGTTTGGTATGCAGAAGGAATAGACTGGAATGAAATGACATTATCATCATATTTTATCATTTATCACTATTTTATAGTAAAAAAAATTATATTCATATTAATGTTATTTTCTTATTTATGATAATACTAATATTATTTTATATTTTAAAAAAATACTATATTTTAATAAACATATTTTTGTATTGTTACACCCATCTTATATAAGAAATAAGTGAATTATCTATATATATATATAATAAGATTTACCATTTATAAAAAATGGCAAGTCAACTTTTTGGTCAAATTAAGACATAATTAAATAGTTTCCATTTATGATAATTTTTTTTTTTATATTTCACTTAAAGGATAAATTAATTGCAGTTCAAATGAATTTGTTGCATTACAGGGGCAAACAATTCGGGACTTAATTTTTGGGAAACAAATCATCCCTTATATGAAGGGATTTACTACTTCAAAATACGGAATTGTTTCACTTTTGTAAAACTCTTTTTTTTTTTTTTTTTTATCCCTTAAGTATCGGTTTATTAATGTACAAATAATATAACTACAAGACAACAACTATTTTGTGGTACAATATTAATTCGTACATGAATACTGAGACTTGAATCTTTTAAATTTTTTGGAGTATTTTAAGTCAAAATATATAATTATATTTTTTAATATAAACTAATATAAACAAATTACATTCAAATGTAATGATAATGTTAATAGATTCAATTTTTATTAAAACGTATACGTAATTTGTACATTATTCATTTACATAAAAAAACTCACGTGCTGAATATTTTTTAAAAATGTTCAAAGTAAAACAAAGTCGATTATTCTCGAGAGTCTTTAAAGTTGATCCGTATCAAAGATAATATTTCTGATGTTATCTGATATTACTATAAAAAACGTGTGCAATCAAGTTTGATGATATAAATAAAAAATAAACCAACTTTGAACAAAAATTAAGATAGATAGCCTATTCATAAACAATTAATGAAAAACAAACAAACCAATTTTATGTCGAAACATTACAATTTTTATTTAAAAAAAATATAGAAATTATTAAGGAAAAGTTTACGTTTATTTACAGTCTTATTTGATTTATTTGATGGTCAACCTAATAATTGTTGTATGTAATTTTTTTGTTTTATTTGGAGAAAATTGTGAAATATAGAATATGAAATAAGAGGGGATGTCGAATATGAAATTAGAGGGAATCATTAAATTATGTTTCTATCTATAAATTATTCAACTCACTATTAAGGAAGTAACACGATTCAAACTAAAAACATGTTTTATTAGTGTAGCTGGGAATATAAAAACTATCTACATAAAATCGGATTGAAAAGGTTTTAAACTTGGAATAGAATATAATTTATAATATAGTTAGAAATAAGAAAAGTTGTCCAAGTGTGCGGGGCAATTTTTTCGACTACAGCAATCAGCATCCGCAGTCTATAAGAGAAGCCCACCAATGGAGCCCAGTTGTGTGAGGCCTAGTTTTCGCAGCCCTTTGTGCAGCCCGTGTACACAAAAGTTTTTAATAATATAAAATTTTTTCGTAACAAACATTTTATGATTGAATAATGTGCGTATGTATTAAACTCTCGTATATCCTAATGTATGTCAAATTATAATATTTTCCAAATTTATATACCCCGTGCATCGCACGGGATATGCCCTAGTGTATTTTTATACATATTAACTAATACAACTATGTCATTACATAAACCCCTACAAGAATATGTGGTCAAATATATTTTTTTATAACATATTTCAATTTATGAATAAATATATAATATATATGATTATATAAAATAATACGATTTATCTAAATTATTTATAAATGCATTTTTTATGAGTTTTATTGTTATATTAGTATTTAATATATCTAATTAATATAACTAATAAATAAAAATAATATTTTAATTTTTTATTTGAATTTTATTTTTTAAATGATCTTATTTAATATAATTTAATCATGATAATATAGTATATATTATGTATTTATTTGTTATTATTATTTGTTAATTTTATTTTTTGAAAAATTTATTCCTAAACATATGAAAATGAGAAAACCATCCATTAGCTATGGAATAGTTAATCACATATACATGGGTTTTGCGATTCCCATTGGAATGATCATTCTCTTCTAAAAAATATACCAATCATGAGAATAGAAATGAGTAAGTGAATAATCATTCCATTCCAACGTCATTCCCGCATACCAATCAGACCATTAGAGTGTGCAATTAGGTGGTGGTTGGGGGAGGGGGTTTGTCACTGTTCCTTTGTGTTTTTGTTGGGTTTGGTAGAGCTTCTCTTCGTTGTTTTTGTAGGTTTCATTAGACAAGATTGGCAAAGGAAATTGACAATGGGAGCTATTGATGCAAACTTGGATGAGAAATTTTGGGAATTTGATCTTTCTACAAAAGAAAAAGAAGGGGTTGCGTTGGAGGAGAAAGATATAGCCTTCAGTATGGATAAAGGTGGAAGAAGTTTACTTGGAAGAATCTATGGAGTGAAAAAGCATATTTCTCAGGGTTAAAGCTAAGACTGAACATCATTTAGTAGACCCGAGAAAGTTTGAGCATCGAAGAGATAGGGTTTAATACTGTTCAATTTGTCTTTAGATCGATACAAGACAAACAGAAAATGTTTAAGGGAATCTTATGGTCTTTTGACAACCAATATCATTTTAGAAGAATGGGCTAAGGATATTATGGAGAGAATAAATGAGTTGGGTTTAATAGATTTATGGACCCAAATTTGGTGGTTCCTTGTCATTGGATTTCGGTGGGGACGAGATTTAAAAATTGGTAGTGTGTTCAAAGAAATAAAAAATGTGGTTATTCCAGGAAGCGAGAGTAGAAGAATTATCAAGATACGAGCAACGATTGATCTCAACAAACCCCTAATGAGAGGCACAACGATATCGTTGGGGGGAACAGTCTTGTTAAAATGGGATTGGGTCAACGGCTCACCCCACTCGCCTAATAGACATGTTGGGCTGATATCTTTAAGGTCAGTCAAAGAGCAGGCCTAACCGGGTTGACCCGCGGGGCTACAGGTTTTGATGGAGCGAGCGATGTGGGCCGCTTGCCAACTCGCCTATTTGTTTTATTTTTAAAAACATTAAATTAATAAACCAATAACTTGTAGATATGATCATATGTTTATTGGTTGACAGCCCAAAGGGGCTCAAAAGAAGGGAAGAGCAAAAGCCTTTTTATGACCCATTATTGATTTTATTTGGAAGGCGATTGTCATAAATAAAACAAAAGTCTTACAACTGGGACGTTCATTGACCTAAAGCTGAAACAATACAGTTGAGGAACATTAACAAGGTGCCCTAGAACCTTACAACACGACTACAAAACTACAACACGAAACCAGCAAAAACAAACTACAAGTCACAAAAAGAAACAAACACTCACATAAAGACAATGAAGGTAGCAAACATGACACCGAGAACCTAGAACAACAACAAACCAAAGAACCACTCCAAAAGACGAAAGAACCGTGAACCATAAACCTCAAACTGCCAGTGACCACTGAACCCACCAGGACTTAGTTACTAACCAGTTTGGAGCTTACCAGTTCAAACCAACAACACCCTGAGAATTCCAGTCAATCTCTCAATGCAGCCCCAACCTGGTCGCAGGATGCGGGTGGCGCGACACCTGTGCACTGCTACTGTCGCACCTCTGCGTTGCCAGGGTGTTGCGGGCCGGTCTCGACGTGCGCCTCGTCACGAGCTGCGCGCGCTTGTGCGAGAAACTGCACTGCTGGGATGGGAACTGTGCTGGGCTAGAGACTGCACGCTGGCACGGGGATTGTGCACGCGCGGACGCGGACGACAACAACTGCGGCACGACACGAGATGATCGAGCGCGGTTCGTGGCACGCTGCACGCTGCACGCCTGCGAAGCCCGCGCGGCCAGTGCTTGGCTGCGTCCGCATGTTTGCTCTTCGCTCGGGCACGACGTGACGCCTGGGCCACAACCTCCCGGTGCACTGTGGTCACAGCCAGAGTTCAGTCTGAGGTTTTTCAATGGCAACAAGGGTTTCAAAGCAAGGCTTAACATGGCTTTTTGGGCTTTAACACATCAACACAAAAATCCAAATGTTCAAAGGCATTTTCAAGGCTTTCAACATCAAGATTTTTCCAAAGCTTAGCTTAACAAAAACATGGTTTAAGGCTCGAATTCTTCAAGCATACAAGGCATCAAATTTAAGGCTATAATAACATGTCAAGAGAGTTCCCATACTTCCAGAAATTTCAGATAAAACATAGATTTTCCCAACATTAAAGATCCAAAACTTTCATTAAACTTAGATAAAAAAAAATATGAAGGAGGATTTAAGAGATCTACCTCTCTTCGGGAATCTACAAGCAAGGAGGGAGGATGAGGGCTCAATCACGGACACTCGTGGCTTCGGGTGCTCTTGATCTCGCGGATTCTCGGCCTTGGCTACCCATTCATGTGTGCCTACTCGGCAGCTGCTCGCGAATGGGGACTCCTCTACGTTGGCCTCGGCGTCCACGCGGTGGGGCTCGTCTTCAGTCGCTGCTCCCAGTGCGTACGCAGCGCTCGACACGGCGCGACTGTTTGAGGCTTCGACGCTCGGGGCTTCTTGAGAACGCCAGCGAGGGAGACTTTTGTGAGGGGATTTTCGAGAGGAAAAGTTGAGTGTTTGAGAGAGTTTGGGTTGTTCTTTGTTGCTGAAAAACATGGGGTGAGGGAGAGGATTTTTGTCAAAATTTGCTTTAAGGAAAACTTTGGTTCTTGAAGGCTCATTCTTGATTTAATTAAGGGAAGAAAGAGGAGGATCAATTACTTGATCAATTGCCATCATCTAGGTGCTGCTATTGGGGAAGGTTACTCAAAAGAAGAAGATTTGATTTTACCATGATTTGGTTGTTTCTCTTGAATGAGGTGGTCGAAAATATTGTAGGATTGAGAAATCACAAGCTTACCAAAAGTGGCTCCAAGGACTTAAATTTGAATTAAAAAATTTAGTGCCAAAGACTTTAGAGTTGGGTCAGATTTTTACATCAAAGAGGGTCGGGTTTTTGAGCTTTGTTGTCGTATGGACTTGTAACAACATAATTAATATTGAATTACATGATTCAAGACATAAAATGGTGATAATTCGAGATTTTTATTGATCGATATCGAGTCGGTGTGTATGCCACCGAGTTGGAATTTTTACAGAGTAAAAATTGAGTGTCACCCCCTCCTATGTGGAAATCTTAGCCTATTTATAGTAACATATTTGTACACACATCTCGAGGCTTGCTAATAATTTACATCAGGTGTAAAGCATCTTTACAGGGCGGTTATGTCAGTTGGGCCCGCAGATCATTATGACGTAGTGCACGGAACGCAATGGTGCCGCGTAGGCGTCTCGTCACCTACTTTGGTTTTGATGAGCTCGGTTTCACCTGAGGTCAATTGTCATGTAGGTGGAGAGGTTCTGGGAATTCGGTGACAACCGATGTCGCTTGTCATGCCGGTTTCGACCGCTCGTCATGTCGGTTATGACGAGATGTGACTTCGGTTTTACAAACGACTCCGGTTTCACAAATAAAATGTCTTTACGCTCGTAAACGACTCGGAATTATCGACATCATGGTTGATTTGGCTGTAATTCTGCTTATCTCTTGAATAGCCTGTGTATTATCAAGTTGGTGGTCAACAAGCTTCTTATGGGCCGAAAATCTCTTTGAACTTGGACTGAAAAATGAGGCTTAAAAGGCCAAAAATATGTTCGGTCCAAATTTAGAAAAATGGTTTGCACTTGAACTTGAAATCGAACGAAATTTTGCTTAGCAACAGAATTACCGAAACTTAGAATAATTTAATTACACGATGACATCTACATAAATTATTCAACTTATTGGATTAAATAGACGAGGACGTCTAAATAATCTAAAGAACTTATTGACTTAGTCGAGCTTAAACAAATGCAATGCAAACACAAGATTAAAATAAACCGACCCTTGTTATTTGAATGGGGCACTACATGCTTTATTAGTGTCAATGCTTTATTTTGAAAATAAAATCATGAAGTATTTCCTATAAGTCAGAGTTTGTTATAAAATATCCTTTTAGGGGGTGATTGGATATAAGTTATTTTGGATTTAGTTGGATAAGCAGAGTTAATCTTGAAAAAATTAATTGAGTTAGGTTTGAGTGATATTTTGAATTTCTATTAAAATAATATTTAAAATATATTGATTAAAGTTGATTTCATGTGAAAGTATGAATGAGGAGATTGAAAGTGATAAGTAGTTAAAATTATGTGAGTGAATGAATAAGATGATTGATTGATATTATTTATATTGATAATATTAAGAAATGTTGAGTTGTGTTAAATTTGAGTTAAATATTGTGTTAGAAAAATTATTTGGTCAAAAAGTGATCATTTATACAAATCAACCCCTTAATAGTACTCCAGTTTCATCTTTAATAATTCCAATACTAAAAATAAATCAATATTCTATTCTATATTGAAAAGAACGCCCTCGGGCATAGGCGGATTGGTTTGGCCAATTGCAGGAAGGGGATGCTATCCGCCAGGTGGGGAGTTAATTTGAATCCTAGGAAGAACATGAGGCAAATTTTCTGACAAATTTTTGCTAGCAAGGACTCTATCATGGTGCTGACAAAAGCAATTGCAAGAACCTAAGAATCAATTCGTGCACAACCCGCTGTTTAACCCCCCCGCCCAAGAGCATCTGCAATATTTTGGGTCTAATTTTGCTTATGTGACATGTAAATATACTTAAGTCTTGGATAACATAGACGAAAATATATAAAAGTAATAAAATTGACTCCAATGGAAAGAGACAAGATCTCTACTTGGGTCTAAAATAGACTTAAGGGTACACTGGGTCTCTTTTCTTGCTGCCACATCAGCACGACCCAGTCTATTTGCATTTGCATTTGAGAGCATCTACAATGTTTTGGTTCAATCATAAAATATTGTATGTCACCTAAGAAATAGACATAGTCTAAAAAAATGTATTTTCTAATACAAACAAAAGTAGACTGGGTCCTGCTGATATGACAGTCAATAAAAAAGACCTAGTCTACTCTTAAGTCTATTTTAACTAAGTATAGACCTAGTCTCTTTGCATTAGAATGAATTTTATCAATTTTACATAGTTTTATCCGTATTATTCAAGATTTAGATTTATTTACATGCCACATAGGCAAGACTGGATTCAATGCATTGTAAATGCTCCGAGAGTTTATTTTTCTAGATTGAGTATATTTCCTATATGACATGTATATTTTTTTTGAATGACCCCAAAAACATTGTGGGTGATGTAAAATAAAAAAAAAAATTGGTTACCAATCACATTACACGTAACACTTTGTTTTTTTTCCTGCAACGACAGATAAACACGTAACACTTGTTAAAGGAATTAAAAAATAAAAATCTGCATGGAAAAAGACCGTATAAGAGGTGAACACAAGTCAACACCAACTTAAAAGATGACACGACGACATCTGTTTCCATAAGTCGGTATATATCTTAAGATTTTTTCACGGGGATATCAGATTTCTTCAAAAGCTCTTACCAACATAAATTTCAACGCTCCCTCTTTCTCTCTCAGATCTCACGCAAATCCGCATACTTTTTTATACGCTGCTTCATTTGTAAAACCCTAGTCCCCAAATCGAAACCCTAGGCTAAAATTACCGAAAGAACCCCCAAATTTCCAGCCTCATTGCGCCGGAATTGGTTTTCTTTTCTTGTCATTTCTGATTTATTTGCTCCCTTTCGTTTTCAATTTCTGTTTTTAGCTCTCAAGTTGTGAACTTTTCCTTCAAAGGAGTGATGGTTGAGATTTATAATGGAGGGCAGTAGAGTTATTGTCGATAATGCCGATGGCGGCCGAGAGAACTGCGGCTCCGCCGACGGGCGGCCTCCGATACCCAATTCTCTAGGCGGCCAAGGCGCCTACAGACGCTGCTTCAACTCCGGAGGCACGCCGCCGTTGCGTACTAAGTCCCTCGTTCGCCACTCTTCATTGGTAAGCTCAATGTCACGTTTATTTCTGTATTTTCATATATTTATTTTAATTTTAATTTGTATTTGTTGCCCTGTGTTTGTATCTCATCAGTAGCGGATCTGTATCTCCCTTTGGAGTTAGAGTTACCGTTAAAAGCATGGTTATATATGTTTTTGCCTCTTTTTTTGTGGTATGTTCGGAGTTGGCTATGATTTTGGATTGAGGTCATAGTTTAGGTTAATGGGTGCAAAATTGTGACGTTTAATTGCTACTTAAAGAATTTTATTTCGGGCTTGACGGGGATTATGCAATTCTGATGTTGACATTTGTAGTGGTGCTCAATTGTAATATTATGTGGGTTGTTAATGGGCATCCTTAGGGCCTGATATTATTTGTGGTTTTTTTTTTAATGAAAAAGCTTTTATAGAGTTTGTGGTGATATATGAGGTGGGGTGAGGTGAGTGATGGTTACAAAGTGCATATGTTGAAAATTTTGCACGTTTAGTGCAATTGTGTGTACAACACTTGAATCTGTGCCACACAGGGGATCTTATGTTCCCTCATTCAGTGATTTATTAACAAATCATATTTAGAGACTCGAATTTGTTGCCCCAGTTAGTTCCATTATGGTACTTTTTCTAAATACGAAGCAACATTATATCTGTTATTATTTATAGTGTTTCTGGAGAGGTTTGTGATGCTGATTGTGTTTGTCCTTACAATCATAGAACTCATTCATATCTGATACTTTTGATGATAACTTGTTGGCTATTTAGGAAGCCTTCCTTACTCGAGCTGTAACTCTGTATTGCTTGAACTAGAATTTTAGAGTTGCTTACATTGTTCTTCTCTGGGTCCACTGATTATTTAATTTTAAGTTAACCTGCAGTTCTTTGCCTTTGTCTTCACGCAAACATTCTTATCCCTCCTTGATCTGTTAATCTCTTTTTAGTTTCATCTCCACGTGGTGTTATATTTTGATGAGAGCTTTATCAGGTTAAGACAAAGTCATCTGATATTCCTATTAACCCGCGACTGGGTGAAGATGATCGTATAACTGAATATATGCCCCTCCTCCGCTCAGGCGCGTGGGCAGACATTGGTTCTCGTTCAAGCATGGAGGATGTCTATGTTTGTGCAGACAATTTGACCCATGATTATGGTTTGCATATTTCAAACGGAAATCCTAGTGCATTCTATGGGGTAACACGTCTTTTTCTTGTTCTTTCATCTCTTATACGACCTGCATTTATGTTTTTCTAATGGATAAACCTACAGATGATCCTCCAAAATGATATTATTCAAATGTTCAATCTCTTCACAGTAATGTATTTAAGTTGATTAGAATAGACAAAGATTGATCAGAACCTGAGTTAATAGCATTTTGCAGATAAATACATTCTAAGAGTCGTTTAAATCTTGGTCAGGTTTTTGATGGGCATGGAGGAAAGCATGCAGCTGACTTTGCATGCAACCATTTACCGAGGTTCATTTTTGAGGATGAAAATTTTCCAGCGGAAATTGAGCAAGTAATGTCATCTGCATTCCTACAGACAGATACGGCTTTTGCAGAAGCTTGCTCTGTGAATGCAGATCTTGCTTCTGGTACCACTGCTTTGGCAGCTATTGTACTTGGAAGGTTAGTTTTCTAGTACTTATAGAGATTACTGGCTAGTTTCGAATTCAGTGTGCAAAATGATAAGATGCCTCTATTACAATTCCTTTCTTTTGCCCTTGGGAATTATGATTCTATTTGAAAACGTCACACATTCACCATTTGAAAAAGTTATCCCCTAATTGCATATGCTGCGTGCGTAATCAGTAATCACCCTGAAACTACTGGAATAATCTCAATTTTGGTCGTAAATTGAACAAGTAAATGTGACTTGCAATGCCAAATCCAAGTGATTACAGCTCGATGAATGAACTTGGGACGAAAATTGAATTTTTTACAAGTTACTGAGATCTCTGGAGCAAAACTGAGATCTCTCTTTCTAATAGTGTAATTTTACAATAAACTCATCTCATTGTCTATTTTATAAATTAGCTCTTTAGTGGTGGCCAATGCTGGCGACTGCCGAGCTGTCCTCTGCAGACGTGGCAAAGCAATCGAGATGTCAAGAGACCACAAACCCGTCTGCCTGAAAGAAAAGAAGCGTATAGAAGCTTCCGGAGGGTACGTGTACGACGGCTACCTAAACGGGCAGCTTAACGTGGCCCGAGCCTTAGGGGACTGGCACATGGACGGCCTCAAGTGCCAGCATGGCGGGCCTCTCACGGCCGAGCCCGAGCTCATGCGGGCAAAGCTGACCGAAGAAGATGAATTCTTGATAATGGGGTGTGATGGGCTGTGGGATGTGTTCATGAGCCAGAATGCGGTCGATTTTGCGCGAAGGCGGCTTCAGGAGCACAATGACCCAGTAATGTGCTGTAGGGATCTTGTGGACGAGGCTCTTAAGAGGAAGAGTGGGGATAATTTGAGTGTGGTGGTCGTTTGTTTTCAGGCGGGCCCACCACCGAACTTGGTGGTCCCACGGGGAAGGGTGCAGAGGAGCATTTCTGCTGAGGGGCTCAAGGAGTTGCAGAGCTTTCTGGATAGTTTGAATTGTAGTAATTGACAGATGGTGATGATGAAGA